TAACAGTGGAAACTGAGTCCGTGGTTGCGGATGATCTGACCGAGGGGGAGCAAGTAGATAGTAAACAGGAGGGGACCAAGGACAGATCCCTGAGGAACGCCATGGTTAACTGTTACAGAGGTACCTGCTGCTTTTGACAAATGTGCATCCAGCATCAGAGTTGCAGACAAGTAGCATTGCATTTCATTCATTTGTTACTGAAATTAATACAAACTATAGTGATTGGAGTCATTTTCTTTACTGGCCTTCACTGTTTTTATCATTTATGACCAGGGATTTACAATAAATTGAAATGCTCCAATCATAGAGAGTAGATCTATAGCTAAACTAACATGTTAATAAAATTTATTTCAATTCAATTCAGTTTATTTATATAGCGCCAAATTCACAACACATGTCATCTCAAGGCACTTTACAGTTAGACCAGATCATACAGTCAAATTGATTCAAAGTTTTCTATCTAAGGAAAACCAGTTGATTGCATCGACTCATTGACTTGAATGCAATCCCTCACACTAAGCATGCTTGTAGCGACAGTGGAGATTCCCTTTAGGTCTTTATAAGTGTGTATATATATACTGTAGTAGACATTAAAAATTTCCCCACTTTCCTTGATGGGCCCTTGGCTGGTCCCCTGCAATTCCCTTTTAAACATCAAAGTTCTACAAACTTGTTGAATTCATCCACTACTCGACTGTACAGGATTCGCCCCTCCTGGATGGGCACGTAGAGATAGTAGTAGATATTCGATTGCATTGTGTCGATGACTGCAACATTTCTAGAAGGGATCAATAATTAATTGATGCTGGATTCCTAGCCTTAATGTGGGTCAGTAGAGGACAATATTGGGCCAGATGTAAAGTGGGCAGAGTGGGTCAACAGGACGATCATACAACCTGAAAGCTTCTATTAAATGAATGTGTGTTTTCTGAAGACCTTAGCTGCAGCACGGGGGAATTATTTTTCCCCATGTAATGCTGCATTGATGCACTAATTCGTGCTAAAAGTTCACCCTGTCCAATAAATCGAGTTAGATGTCAGTCAGCCACTGTTCTGCATTTATAATCCCTTTTTATGGGTTTAATGCATAGATGTTAAACAGTTTGGAAGGTTTTTTTTTCTTACCTGTCATCCCGATAAGGATCATCCTTGATCCTTCCTCTTGCTTCATATTTGTAGATTCTCTCGTACCTGCATGTGAACCTATTTCTGTGCGCTAATGTCAACTTTTTTTCACTTTAAAGATGAAAACAAGCTGAGGAAATAAACTGCTTGTGATTGGCTAGTTCTGCATTTTCTAATTAAGAAAAGAGGAACATAGATTGTTAGGGGGGAATGGGTTCTGTAAAATCTCTGGCAAACTTGATTTCTCAGAGTTTTCGGCTTTGGATTTAAACATAAATCCAGCTTTAGTTGAAAAATGTCAAGAAATGCTTTGAAAGGTTTGGTGGAATTTCACTCATTATTTAGATATCAGCAGGTTTTTCTTATTTTGACCTAGAATTTGATATTAAAAAAACAGCAAAGTAAAAACTTGCATCTACTAATTTTTTTCCCAAAAAGTCGTATTCTAATAAATGGGCATTTGATGGTAGGACTAAAGGCTGATTTATTTATTTATAATCAGAAACCAGGTCGTCTGCCCTTTTTTTACCTGGATCCCTGATCTTTTTCGCCCTCATGTCCCTCCATGGTCTCACAAACTTGCCCCCACTTCCTCACTGCCTCGGTCGCATCTAGACCCACAGCTAGTTCATGATTCTCCCTCTTGCGTTGTAGCGTGGACTAACATAGCGCAGATCACTCTTCAATTTTGGGCATAAATCAGAAACATCTGCAGCAAGCTCACTGCGACACATTGCTGCTGGGAGTACAACCAGTGATTAAGCCATGCTGTTTTTGAGAACCTTTTTTGATATATATTTCAAAAATGTCATCAAAAAAAATCTTTATTTTAGGGTACATTTTACAACTTAAATATAAATGTAATACTTGGATTATGTTTTAAATAAAAAAATAGATGTTGCATGTATTCATTTCACGTAATTCATGATATATTTGGGTCCTCCATATACCTCAGAGTCCCACCTTCATCACATTGATTTTGGAAAAACCTAACACTGAAAGCTAAAACTTTCCAATTTCCCACTTTCCCAGTCCACACCATTCTGCTCTTTATAATATCTTCAACATCCTGCAGCCATGTCAGGGAATGAAGTCTGAGAGTGAGACCTACTGAAAAGGTCAACCAAGGCAATTTAAATAACTCTGATTAAACGTTGTGTTGGGATCAGAGCAAAAACTGTAGGTCACTGCCTCAGAGAGAGACGATATCCGCCCGGTAACCTTGCATGGCCCCACCGTCACTTCTCTCTCTTTGTTGTGTCAGTACACTCCAGGGTTTTACGTAATATCTGGACTCCCCGACTGTTTGAAACCTTTGTTTTGACTTGATGTGAGATCAGGCTCTCACTGCTCAAAACTGGATCGCTGGTTGTGTGTATAATCTCACTGTTAGCAGCGGATAAACCTTTTTCTTTTTTTCCAGAATAAATGTCAAATTCTCCTTTGATTTCTCCACTAGAAAAGGATGGATGCATCTAAACAGTTTGGATTCCATTCAAAATACCATATTTACTTATGGATCATAGAATGTGTTTCTGTACAAGTGGTCTAGAAGCAAGTAAAAACCAAAAAGATGAAAAACAAATCCTTAAATATAACCACTGTACCTGCATTATTTAAAATGTACATATACTTTAAACAAAATAATACAAACCACTATGAATCTAAACCCCCAAAAAGTTTTTAATGGCCAAATGAAAAAAATAACTAGCAACTTAAAGGGACATTGATTGAAAATAAGGTTTTATGCAGCATGCGAGCATCCTGATAATGTTTAGAGGGTAATTTATGAGCCTAAATAGAATTCCAGCATGGGCCAACATATTCTCATTATCAGTTCGTATGAAATTGTACGAAAAGTTATGCACAGTATTTTGGACCTTTTGGACGTTTTTCCTCGAAAAACAGATCAGTGCGCATGCGCAGGTAGACAGACGTAACAAGCAGATCCACGGACGTACGTAAAACTGGGAAAAACAGTGCAATTACTACTTCTTCATGTCTCTAACTAGCTTGCTGTTTTGTATCTTAGGGTTAGGGTTAATTGTATGTTAAATTCTATGTTATTGAATGGTGCGTAAGATGCGCATGCGCAAGGATATCTTGTCTCGAGGCAAGATGTAAAAATACAACAAAATACGCCGAAAAAAACGTCAAAAACGTACATAATTACGGTGCATAACTTTTCGTACGATTTCATACGAACTCATAATGAGAATACACTGCATGGGCATATTAAGCTGACATAAATAGATGTGGTGGCATCTGCTGGCAGAACCATGGACCTATCAGAGAGTCAGATGGTAGCAGCCATTCAAAATTTCCCCACTTTCATTGATGAGCTTTTGGCTGGTCCCCTACAATTCCTTTTTAAAAATCAATCTTTGTACTAAAATTTTTGGACATTACGATCTAAAGAGAAGCCTCATCTCCTGATCAGACCCTGTAATGCAGTGAAAGGGTGGAGTCTAGGAAAACGAGGGGATTTCTCTAATGGCTGGAAGTTGAAGGGGATTTTGATGGGAGTTGCAGGGAAGTGGGCTGCCATTCGGCTGGCGTTTCAATGGGAAGGGCCATTTTGAATGGCTGCTACTGTAAATACAGCCTGACTAATCCTGTAATGCATTGCTGTAAAGCAACAGCTTGGCTTGATCCAAGAATTACTGATATTAATAAAACAAATCGAGCTAAACATAAGTTGTAGTGAATCCTCCCCCAGAACATCAAGGGAAAAAGAACTGTTTTCAGAGAGTTGCTCCAGTCTAGGCCAAAATATTTTTTGAGTTTTTCCATACTGGATCTTGGATTCTTCCACATCTCCACATTTCACAGGGAGATGTTAACTTGTTTAGCCATTTTAAGGTACTTTATTGTCTATCCCCTGCTTACATGTACATTATTATACTTTCTTTGTTTCTGTAGATATGTTCAAAATACTTTTTTTAAGCATACCTTTTTCATATCAGAATGAATAAATTATTAAATATAACCAATATACCTGTTTAATTAAGATTCTACATGTATTATTTTTACTAAAAAGGCAGATAAAATAACACTAAAAGCTTCCTGGCCAAATACTGGCCACCTCTATAAAAATTTTCTGGCTCTGCCACTGCTTACTGATATTATTTACTTTACAAATACATAAATTATTTCAAGCTTTTTAGTTTATTCTATAATTAATTTATCAAAGGATCTAAATGTTAATTTTGCCAAATCAATCAGTTGAAAAAAAAAAGGTTAAACATATTATATGATTTCAGTTACCTGAAACACCCAGGTGTTCTAGAGCTACATTAGCACACAGTTATTCTCTGCCTCTCCGCTCATGCGTTGGAGGATGCCAGCCAGATAAGCTGTTTAGAAGTAGCTTTTAGTTTAGTCTGCTGCTTCTGATCCTGCTGTTGCTGTCCGTCCCTTTTTATGGTCCGTGTAGCACAAGCTTTCAATGCACAGCACACAGCACAGGGCATGTCTTTTCCTCTTTTTTTCCCCCCTTTTTCCCTTCTTTTCATTCGGTCCCTTACATTTATTTCACTTTAAAAAAAAAGTGGCCTTAGTGTAAACCCTCCCATTTATTTGTGTTTCCCTATTTAGTTTGCCCTGGAACGGAGAACAAGCTGAGCACGCTGTCTGACCTGGATCAGCAATACCGCACCCTGAGGAAGCTCTACGAGAACTGCGAGGTGGTCATGGGTAATCTGGAGATTACCAGCATTGATAGAAACCGCAATCTCTCCTTTCTGAAGGTAAGAACACAAAAACCTGAACCGGTGAGAGTAGAATGGCACAGGTGACTGAATTTGGATTTGTCCAGGACCATGGACAGCGCCTCAGGTTCAGCTCATCAGTTTTCCCCCATAAAAGCAAGAGGGCAGCCATTCAGCAGCAAGTTGATTCTCTGTCTTCTGCTGGATGTAGAAGCTGTAGAATATTAATATTTTGAGAAATAATGGCATCTATAGATTGGAAAAAAAGCAAAGTTAGAAATCAGATGGCTTTGTAATTTTTTTTGGGTTAAACTTATTAAATGGCACACCAGAGGATTTGTACTTTGCGTTTAGGCGTTCAGATTTGTTTAGCACAGGATTTCAAATGAGTTCATCCCAACATGTTTTCAAACAGAAGACATTTAGAAGCTGTTATGCTAAGAAGAGCAGGGGTTCCAAAACATGTGACAGACTAGAGACCCCAAAAAACACTACACTCTAAGTGTATAAATGTATAAACTAATTCTATTACATTCTAAATTTAATGGGGGAATTTAAAATTTAATTTTATATTCAATATCTTAAGTCATGATCAGTGACTCCCAAACATTTCAACCAAAAATATTTAATCAAAACAAAGACTTGCTAAATATAAACATATTTCCTTTATTATATTTATAAACCAATTATAGTATTTTTAAAATAGACAGACATTTTTAATGACTTTTGATTATTTAAATGATCATTTTAACTGTATTTTCAGCTATATTATTGGGTATTTAAATATTTCTTTGTGCTTTTTAAAATTAGATGGTTTATTTAACTGAAATGAAGGATTTAAATATGAATTTGATAATCTTTTATTATTATTTTACAT